TCGGCCTCTTCCACTTTGTTTTTGTTTTCTTTTGAGACAGGATCTCTCACTGGCCTGAGTCAGCTGGTGAGGAGCTCCAGGAAGCTGCTTGTGTCTAGATCTCCAGTGTTATCATTGTGAGCACACATCGTCATGCCTGGCTTTTTACAGTGGTGCCGGGTACTGAACTCAGGTCCTTATTTTTGCACAGAAAACACTTTGCCAACTGAGCTAGCTGTCTCCTCTGCCCCCTAATTTTTTTGTTTGTTTTGTTTTTGAAACAGGATCTCATGTAGCTCAGGCTGGCCTTGTATTCTTGATCCTCCTGCCCTTTGAGTGCTGCGATTACAGGCGTGCACCACCATGCCCGGCCTCTCTAAGCTCTGCTGCCCTTCTCAGGGAGGCTGGTTCCCAGACTGCCAACTCCAAGCAGTGATGGGTGCAGGCTGCCTCGGATGGCTTCCTGCAGAGTTAATGGTTCACTTATTCAGTCTCCGTAGATCTTCCCAGGACCATGCATGGGAAAGCAGGCTACTGTGGGGGTCTCAAGACACCAAGAGGAGAGAGATAGGCAGATAGCCTTTTCCAAACCAGGTCAAAGAAACTAGCGGGGCAAGGGAAGACCCTGGCTGTGTCCTGAGGACTTTGTGAGTCTGATTTCAACTGGAGACCGCTGTCTCAGCCTACGGGAGAACTGCTGTCACTGGCTGGGGAGGGGAGGGCATGGCTCTATTCCTCAGCCACTTTGACTAGACATAGACAGCTACCCGGGCATCTAGCAGCCAGCAACTGACAGGACTCAGGATGTAATGCTGACTGCTTCAGCATGCAAAAGCTATATGCCTTGAGTCCTAGGGCCAGGCTGGTCCTCTTGCCTGCTCTGCCACCCACAAGCCTGAGGACCCAACTATGTTCGTGTTGGCAGTAAATAAGGGGAAGTTAATTTTGGCCACTTGAAATGAAAGCTGTGCCTCACGTATCTCACTAGGGAGCATCAAACACACAGCATTCAAATCCTGCTCGAAGAGTGTGAGAAGAAAGACTGTGCATCGGGTCCGTATTAGAGAGGGGAAAGTTGACATGGAGAGTAAGGGACCAAGGGGACAGGTATCCTATATTGTCAGAAAGACAACTGTGAGGTTCTCAGTGTGCCTTCTGGCATGACAGTGAATGAAGAGTTTCTCTGGAATGCAGGTGGTAATAGAATGGTCAGATAGAATCCAGATGGTCTCCTTTTTCATTTTGTTTTGAGACAGGGTTCTCTTTGTAGCCTTGGCTGTTCTGGACTAATTTTGTAGATCTGGCTGGCCTAGAACTCACAGAGATCCACCTGCCTCTGCTTCTCAAGTGAGTCCTGGGATTAAAAGTGTGTGCCACTGTGCCCAGCCTGATGCTCTCCCTTTGATGTCCCCTGTGGCCCACTAACCTGCTCTCCAGCTTCAAGGTCAGCAAAGTCCCAGGACTGTAAGGAAAAGGAATGAAGCCGAAGCCCAAGAACTCACAGCCTCAAAATAAATTTTGTCATTAAAAAAAAAAAAAAAGTAGAGTAAAAAGAAAGCTAGAGATGTTGTCCAGTGATAGAGCCCCTGCCTAGAATCCTCCAGTGAGGGGCTGGGGTGTGGCTCAGTGGTAGAGCACCTGCCTAGAACCCCCCAGTGAGGGGCTGGGCTGTAGCTCAGTGGTAGAGCTCCTGCCTAGAATTCCCCAGTGAGGGGCTGGAGGCTTGGCACAGTTTAGCCTGTTCACTACACTGTCTGGGCCTTGGCCCTAGGACCTTCCCTCCCAGAACTGTTTCTGAGGACCCCAGGGACTTCCTGATTACCCTGGTCTCTCTCCAGCCCCTCATTTCCTGTCCTGGGATGAGTGCCTCACCCTCTAAGCCTGCCCAGTGTGTCCATGCAGGGAGTGCCCAGGTCTAGGGAAGGGAGTGCCCCAAGCTAGAGCTAGGCTGAGGAAGCAGCGGGGAGACTGGACAGTCATGTCTCCCTCTGGAGACCTCAAGGAGTAACCACGAAATTCCATTCTCCTGACAGCAAAGAAACTGAATCACTCTTGCCAGAGCCTGCAGCCCCCACAAGAATGCTATAAGGCTTTGACCTGCCATTCTCAGATCAGCAGCCACAGGCAGAACTGGGCTCCTCACTCCCCTGCAGTCCAGCTCTGTGACTGGGTCTCCCTGGCACGGCTGCTCTGCTGCACGCTGCCCAGCCTCTCCCTGAGCGTCAGCTCACTCTCTTTCAGACGGCGGCGTGCTCCTCACTCTTCCCAGTGACTGTGAAGAATGGGATTGGTACTTAGCGGCCTGAGGGAGTCCCAGGCCTGGAATGGAGGCGCACAGAGACTGACCTCCAGCCAAGACCTGGCCTGGGGGGTGTTGAGGGTAGGCATGGTTATTCTGTTTCCTCTCCTGCCCTTGCAGACTTGATGAGTGCCCACTAAAAACCCTGCCTTTGGTTTACATTGAAGCCATGCGGCAAGTTGGGGAGCTAGCAGGCTTGAGCTGCTGGGAAATGAAGAAGACACGGGGGGGGGGGGGGGGGCCTAGGACTGCCACAGGGCATTCGGACACCGTGGACTAGAGAGAGAGAGAGAGACAGAGAGAGACAGAGACACAGAGAGAGACAGAGAGAGAGAGAGAGACAGAGAGACAGAGAGAGACAGAGACACAGAGAGAGACACAGAGAGAGAGAGAGAGAGAGAGAGAGAGAGGAGAGATCAGAGTAGGTACTAGGTAGACAAGGGAAATAGCATGGGGGCTGTCAAGTAGTCCAGGAGGAGGACTCAGGGAAGAGCCTCAGCTCTCAGATATTTGGATGGCAGATAGTTGTTGGTGGGAAGGAATGAGCCCCGAGGCTGAGGCTGGAACTGCACGCGTCTATGGAGAGCAGTCCACCAAATACCAGGGAGGACTTTTTCCTTGTCCTCGAGAGACCAGGCTCTGGCAGGTGGGGGGGCAGGGAGGGGGAAGAAGGGGTTTATGGCAGGAGGTGACGCCATGGGAGACTTGTTACTCGGAGCAGCCAGCACCATCTGCTCAGGCATCTGCCTACCAGAGGTGGTGTCTCCTAATTACCTGGGGGAGGGGGTCAGGAAGAGGCCTGGGAACCACTCTATCTCCCTCCCTCCCACCACAGAGGGCCAGCGTTGTCCTGCAGGGCTCTGGGAGCAAATGGACCACAGATCCACTCCTGGGTGGGGCGAGGGGTGAAGGAGCCTGGCTACACATCAAGTCAACGTCAATTCATTTCCTTTCCTTTTTGAGATAGGGCCTCATGTAGCTCAGGCTGGACTCAAACTCACTGCTAGCAGAGAAGGATCTCAACCTCTGACCCTACTGAGTGCTGGTTTTACGGGCATGGGCTACCATACCAGCTTTTATTTGGTGCTGGGATGGAACCAAGGCCTCGTGCACCGCAGGCAAGCATTCTAGCGTCTGTGCTGGCTGAGCTACTTCTCCGGCCCTTTCCCACACTGTAACAGAGTCCGACTGAGACTCATTATGTGACTCAGGCTGCCTTTAAATGCCCAGCGATCCTCCTGCCTGTTCCTTGGGCTACCATGCCTGTCTTCAGAAAGTTTTTTGTTTTTGTTTTGTTTTTAAAGAAAAAGGTGTGTGTGTGTGTGTGTGTGTGTGTGTGTGTGTGTGTGTGTATTGCTCAGGCCGAGTTGCACGTGTGGAGGTCAGAGGCCAACATACTGTTGATTCTTTCTGACCGTGTGGGTCCTGGGAATGAAGCTCAAACCCGCAGCCTAGGCGGCCGCTGCCTTTACCCACTGAGCCATCTGGCCAGCCCCTTCAGTAAGTCTTTACTTGCTCCAGCCTGGGATCCAGCCTGCTGCCTTGTTTTACCATTCTTAGAGAGGGACATTAAGAGAGTGTAGTATCTGAATAACTAAAAGTGCCATTCCAGTCTTAATTATAAGTGCCAGGGAGTCGGCGACAGAAGGGGCAGTGGTCTAGCCGGGGTGGCAGGGTGGGCTCCTTTGGAGGGGCACTCGGAGACTGAAGCCAAGCAAAGCCAGGAGCAGCCAGGCGGAGAGCCGCCTCCAGCTGCGCTCCCGGAAGATGCGCCAGGCTCGGGCTTGGACCCTGCTCCCACTCCGGGGACCCCTGGCCATTTCCGGACCCGCAGCCTCTCACCCTACCATCAGGCGCGCATTCCTGCCGCCCCCGCTCGTGCTGGGCGCAAGCAAGGCCCCCGCCCGTGGGAAGGGGGCCGTGTGCCGGGGAGGCGGGGCTGGGAGGGCGCACAGCTGGGTCACATCTGGTCCGAGTGCGGAGGAACCAAATGGAACAGAAGGTAGCCTTTCATCCCGCGAGGGAAGGGGCGGCCCAAGTGGCTCCCTCGCCACGGGGCGCCTGAGGTTTTCGGGGACCAACCCTCCCCATATAGGAACATGATGCCCAGTACAGGCTGCCTGAGGTTGGCCGGGGACGGGGGGAGGGGGGAGGGAATGGGGGGGGGGGAAGAAGGCGGGGAGCGACGAATGGACTTAGAATTTGGTTGCAGGTACCTTCTCGCCTGCGCCTCATCCACACCTAAGGCACAAGTGTCAGTAGGAGCAGCATAGAATTAATCGCTCCAGACACCCTGCTGGCTACCACTTTGGCTCGGTCAGCGCTGTCCCCAGGGAAGGAAGCCCGCTGGGCGACAGGAAACGCACAGCGAGAAGCTAAGGATGTCGCACGCCGAGAAGCACCGGTCCCAGCGCCCAGGTCCCCGCGCCGGGGGCGCGTCCCTCCACGCGCAGCCGTGGCCAGGGTTGGTCGGCCTGGGTGTCGCCCAGATCAGCTCCAGAGGGTGATTCGGACGAGGGCGAGACGGACCCGTGCCCAGAGCGGGCGGGGGCGGTGGGTGCCCGGCTGGGTCGTTCCCAGTCCCCGGTCGAGGGCCCACGTGGGGGCGAGAGCTCGCCCTAGAGGCTACGCCCCAAGGCCGGCAGCCAATAAGCGCGCGGGGGCGTGGCCGGCAGGGAGGTTTAAGGGCGCGTGGAGCGGAGGGCGCGCAGCCGGACCGGGGAGCCTCGGGCGGCCGGACCAGCTGGCACCGGGAAGGCGGGACGTAAGGTCGCCGGCCACCATGCTGCAGCGCTGCGGCCGGCGCCTGCTGCTGGCCCTGGCGGGAGCGCTGCTGGCTTGCCTCCTGGTGCTCACGGCCGACCCGCCGCCGACCCCGGTGCCCGCCGAGCGCGGCCGGCGCGCGCTGCGCAGCCTGGCGGGCTCCGCCGGGGCGGCTCCGGCTCCAGGGTCCAGGGTGGCCGTGGAGCCCGGAGTCCTCGCCCGTGAGGTGCACAGCCTCTCCGAATACTTCAGCCTGCTCACCCGCGCTCGCAGAGATGCGGATCCACCGCCTGGGGTCGCCTCCCGCCAGGCCGACGGCCGCCCGCGTCCCCCGGCCGAGGTCCTGTCCCCTCGCGACGTCTTCATCGCGGTCAAGACCACCAGAAAGTTTCACCGCGCGCGCCTCGACCTGCTGTTCGAGACCTGGATCTCGCGCCACAAGGAGATGGTGAGACCCCGCGCGGCCTGGGCAGGAGGATGGAGTAGGGAATCACACTCTCCTCCAGCTGGTGGCTGTGGGCAGCGGCTCTGGCTGCCTCAATGGCTTTGGGTCTATCAGCGAAGCGAGGACACCTAAGTCCCATTCCAACCCCGTGGGGCTGCTGGGGCCCGCTTTGCCTTACAGCCCTGCCTTCCCTGGTTGCCAGGGTCACCGCAGCCGCATGCTCTAGGTCGGGATGGGAAGGCTCCAGCTTTGGGTTGGCCTGTGACTCTAACAAACACAGGGGTGCGTGGCCGTGTTTGTTCGCAAACTTTTCCGAGCAGTTTGGCTCAGCTCCTTCCTGGGTCCCCTCCACTCTGAACGGACCCGTTCGTCCTGGGTGGCAGGTACTTCCCTTGAAAGTGAGGGGGGAGAAGGCATGGCACCCCCGGACCAGGCACGGTGAAAGAAGTGCGTGCTGGTCCTCGAGGCGCGTGCAGAACGCTGCCTTCAGTAGCGGAGCTCCCCGCCCCCAGTTAGACCAACTTCATACACATAATAAAGAGACACACCCCGCTTTGAAAATCTCCCTGGAGGCTACAACAGGACCGTTGGGGCGGGAGAGCAGAGTTGTTGGGGGGGAGGCTGGGCATTTGGTGTGAAGATGAAGGCTCACTCTCCTTCCTGCTCCAGCCCCCAGGGAGCCTGGGGCCATCAAGCTTGGCTAGTCTGTTTTAGAAGAGTGGAGTTTAACCGAATGGGCTCCTTCCTAGCCAGCCTTGGTCAGAGAACCCCATGGCAGCCTCCTGAGAATGAGGCGTCCCTTTCCCAGGAGCTCAGCAGGCCTTCGGGAGGGGGCAGCAGGGGGGCCACGGGTTTTGTTTGGCTGCGGTGCCGTTAGGATTCCCAGCACTAGGCTGCTCTCACGCCGGCCCCTTGGGCAAGGCAACAAAGCCCCTTTCTCCAGCCGAGAAAGGCGTCGGCCTCTTGTGTACAGCTATGCGCTCCATGGGAACCGTTGGTTGGCGTGCTGGCCACTCAGGTTGCCTGGCGATGAGGGGGGGCTCTGTGTCCTCCCCCAACCCTGAATGACAGCCCCAGCGGGGCAGGATCCCTGAGCCAGGGCACCCCCCTTCCGCATTCAGCCTCCCTGCTGTGTGATACTGGATAGCGTGGATCCCCTGTGGGCCACCACCAGTTCTGAGAAACTCTCAGTTGGAGATTTGGGGGCTTTGTCCAGCAGAGAGGACTCAGAAACAAGTCTCAGTTGGGCTACGTGGTCCGGTGAGAAGCGCAGGGCCTCTCTGACCCTCTGTCTCTCTGAAAAGGGAAATATCACATTTCTAATAAGGTATTATAAAGTCAACAGTATAACTTTGGAGGCTCATGGTGATCCCAGCAGTCATTCAGAGTAAGGGTCTCCCCCCCAGAAGGCTGGATTTACACCCACGCTCAACTCATGTGCACATAGCAAGCAAAGCCCCTCTTGTGGTATACTATCACCAAGGGTCCTTGGAACCTATAGCAAAGGGCCTGGGGAGGTGGGAGAGGCTACATTAGCCCAGGTTGGCTATGAATGGAAGGAAGGCTTCCTGGAGGAGGAGGCTCCATATGACTCCAGGTCCTATGGTCCAGGAAGGGCAGTCTTGGCATCAAGTATGATTGTGGGATTGTACAAACGAAAAAAGCAGGCAGCCTTTGGAGAGGTGGAGAGGCTGGTCAGTGGGGGACAGGCCTGGAGACGCCTGGCCTCTGGCCCGCTGGCTCCTCCCCCACCACTAAGAAGCGCGCCAGGCTGCAGGCTGCCACCGCCACAGCCACAATGGCTGGGGCAGAACTTGGCATCCTGTGTTTCTTTGAATCTCGGCTCCAGGAACAATGCTGCTTCCTGTGTGTCTCTCCCCACCCCCTGCCTGCCCTCACCAGCTCCGCTGCCCTCACTGCCCTGCTGGTCATCCTTCAGGAAAGCTGGGGGGACCAGGTTGAGGGGAGACTGAGAGATGAGGGTCTTCCATTACTTCTTCCTGAGTGTGGCCACAGGCTGGCGTCCTCTCTGGTCTCTCTGCTGTACACCAGGGAGAAGATGGTACTCATCTCCCAGGGACACTAAGGAGAGGAAAACCCATCCCTGGTGCCTGGCTCTGCACAGGCGAGCTGTGTTGGGTTCCCATTTCACAGCTTGTGGGGACTGAGTGGTACCCACATATGCAGCCCCTGCCCCCTCCCGATTGCCCTGTATTGGGGGGAGACAGCAGGCAGAATACCCACACACCCCACAGCTCCGCCTCTCAAAGGCTCTTCACTCCCCCCCACAACTGAACAAAGGTGACTTTAATCTCCGTAGCCCTGGGCTGGGTTTTTAGGACACCATCGAAGCGCGGGAGAACAGGCCTCTCTCTTGATCTCATTAAGAAAGCATTTTCCTTTTAATCCAGCAGCAGCGTCTGCACAGGCCGGCCCGTACCTCCCACGGCATTCCTGGGCTGAGATGCTGGGGTGCAAGGGGAGGGTGGGTGCGAGTCTGTGCGTGTGGGCTGCCCTGGTGTCTGCAGCGACCTGGAAGGAAGGGGTGCCTGCTTGCAGATGATATGGATCCCACCTTTTTCTCCCCTCACCCGGGCCTCACCGGAGTGAGCATCCAGCCGTGCCTGGGGTCACCCTGGATAAAGACCTAGGGCTGTCGGGGGCATCATGCTCCACCCCTCCAGGCCTGGGGCAGTTCCTCAAGTGGCTGGACCCATGCTGCCCTCCAGGTCTGCATACACACACCCAGGATTCCTTGGGTGCACAAAAGCAAAGTGAGGACGGCTGGGGGGTGCAGGGGCCTCGGGGGAGTTAGCTGCCTCTGCTGTGAGCACCCCCCCCCCCCCCACGCCCCAGGGTTGCACTCTGCAATGCCAGGGTGCGGCAGGCGGCACGCGCTGGGCGGGCCGGCGGAGGAAGGAACATTCCTTTCCGTGTGCCGACGGGCCCAGGCGGGCGCCGGCAGCTCCTGGCCCCGCCCCGGTGCTCTCCCCTCTCCCCTTCCTCGGAGCAAGCCTGGCAGGAGTGGCCCAGTGCTGGGCCAGGTGGAGCTTTGGCTGTGGCTTTGGGCAAGGCCCTCAGTAAGCAGGGAACAGTTTTCCTTTTCTAAGCTGGAGGGGCGGCTCCGATGCACTGCTGTGGGGCTGGGGACAAGAGTCCTCTTTGCCACCACCACCACGGTGACCTCCCAGAACCTGCCTGGCTGCCGTGGCTGGGCAAACCTGCCGAGGTCCAGGCCAAAGTACCGCACGGCCAGTGGCCTTACCCGTACCCCCGTGCACAGGACCACTTGCTCAGCCAGCCCGGTTAACCAGGCCAGCTGTATGGAAATGACAGCCGGGCCACTCCTGCTTAACTCGGCAGAGTTAAGGCCGGCCCAGCCCAGGACAAAGCTGGCGGACAATGGCTGGTGATTCATCCTCCCTCCGGGGCCCTTTGTCTGCCAGGGTTTGGCAGCAGCCCAGCAGAGCCCTTTGTCCCCGACCCCAGCGAGGCTCGGCTTCCCAAAGCCGACCTCCTCCTCCTCCTGTCCCCCACCCCCTCCCACCGCTTGGGAAGCCCGAAAGGCTGGGAGGGCTGGCAGGCTGTGTCAATAAGGGTGTGTGCCCGCCAGGTGCTCAGGTTGGCGGGAGGGTTAGCCGGAGCCGTTTACCTGGGTGGTGGGTGGGGCGCCCCCACCTGGCTCGTGCCTCCCAGCTGCCGATGGTGCCCTTGGGCCCAGCTGTCCGAGGTTGGGGAGTGAGCCCACCTCCCAACGCCGGGCCAGCTGCCGCTCCCTGTGGGCACTCATTTTACCCACAGCAGAGAATTCAGACAGTTGTACAGGGTCGGGGCAGGGGGATAGACTTGTAGCTGAGGGCACTCCAGGGTGCCTCTGCCATGGCCCTGGTTCGAGGACTCGGGGGTGAAGGCTCAAGGTCGTGTTTCTTCTTCCAGACTTTCATCTTCACCGACGGGGAGGACGAAGCTCTGGCCAAACTCACGGGTATGTCCCAGGCTTGGGGGTTGGGGTGGGGAGGTCACCGGCTGCTGGACTGAGAGGCCAGTTCACTCCATGCTCCGCCCCACAGCTCCCAGGGCCCCAATTCTTATGCAGAGGAGACCCTTTCAGTCCTCTGGGGACCCTTTGAGTCACGCTGGCAGCAACAGGTGGCGGGTGCTGGGGGAAAGCTGGCTGGATGAATGGGCAGGGGCGGCTACCCTGGGGAGGGGCCGGGGCCCAGGGTAAGGTCTCGGGCGGGGGCGGACAGTCCTGCTTGTGCAGCCTGCTCACAGCTCTCCCCTGTCCCCAGGCAACGTGGTACTGACGAACTGCTCTGCGGCCCATAGCCGCCAGGCCCTGTCCTGCAAGATGGCTGTGGAGTATGACCGGTTCATTGAGTCTGGGAAGAAGTGAGTTTCCGCCTTTCCCACGCGTCCTGTCCGTTCCCCCTTCCGGGCAGCCTGCGGGTCCTCACCCCGATGTGCCTTCCCTGCCCCGTGTTCAGGTGGTTCTGCCACGTGGATGATGACAATTACGTCAACATTCGGGCGCTGCTGCGGCTGCTGGCCAGCTACCCCCACACCCAAGACGTGTACATCGGCAAGCCCAGCCTGGACAGGCCCATCCAGGCCACTGAACGGATCAGCGAGCACAAGGTGGTGAGTGTCTCGCAGTGGGCACCCCGGAGAGCCAGGGTGGGGCCGAGCCGCCGCCCTTGCAACCTGGTGGAGCCCAGGAGTCTCATGACCGCCATTTCACTCCCCTCAGCGACCTGTCCACTTCTGGTTTGCCACCGGGGGAGCTGGCTTCTGCATCAGCCGGGGGCTGGCCCTAAAGATGGGCCCATGGGCCAGGTGAGTGTGTCCTGCACGTGTGAGAGCCCGAATCACGGTTTTGTGTGCCCCACCGCAGGGCCTGGCTTGGGCCACCCTCTCCCAGCTGCCCGCTCTTCTCCCTTAGGTGCCCATAGACAGTTGGGTTTAAAGCCACTCTCGCTGCCTCTGCTCTGGCCAGAGCAACCTTGGGGGAAACCCTTAGAACAGAAGAACTCTGGTCCTCGGAGGGAGAGGGCCACAGTGTACCGCCTCTTTTCTAACCCTGTTTGGCGAGGCCTTGTCCACCCTCGAGCTGTTGGCTCCAGCCTCCACTTACTGTTCCCCGGGCCCTTCCCTTCTGCAGTGGAGGACACTTCATGAGCACAGCCGAGCGCATCCGGCTGCCTGATGACTGCACCATTGGCTACATTGTGGAGGCGCTGCTGGGCGTCCCCCTCATCCGGAGCGGCCTCTTCCACTCCCACCTGGAGAATCTGCAGCAGGTGCCCGCCACCGAGCTCCAGGAGCAGGTGTGTGTTCCCCTCTGTATTTGTTCATTCTGGTTTTCCGAGGCAGGGTTTCCCTGTGTAGCCCTCGAAGTCGATGTCCCAGAACCCACACTGTAGACCCGGCTGTCCTCAAACTCACACAGATCCGCCTGCTGTTGCCTCCCGAGTGCTGGGATTAAAGTCGTGCGCTACTGACGTCAAGCTTATGTATTACTTTTGGTTTGTTGAAACAAGGCTTCAACTGTGTAGCCCAGGCTAGGCTTGACCTAGGGACCCTCTTGCTTCAGCCTCCCATATGTTGGGATTCGGGTGTCTGCCACCACATCCGCCCCAGAGTCATTTAGGGGTGTCTATATGTGTGAGAAATGTATTTGTTTCTCAGAGATTCCAGGCCAGCCTTGAAGCTGAGAGGTCTGCAGAGATCTCCCCGGGCTAGGACTATAGGTGTGCACCCCACCCAGTTCATTGGTGCTGGGGAAGGACCCCGGGGCTTTCTGGGTGCCGGGAAAGCATGCCATCAGTTTAGGTACACCCCTAGCTCAGGTCACATGTCAGTCTATACCTAGACGCTGGCCCTTAGGAGGTACCCCAGATTCACCATCCAGTTCCTGCCCTTTGGGGGGACACAGCTGCTCTCTCTTGCTGATGGTTGTAGACCCCAGGCGGACAGAGTAGGGGCCTTGATCCAAGGAAGCGCAGCAGGAGTGCCCAGCCAGGCATAACGGCATCACTCCCTGCTCCCAATGCAGGTGACTCTGAGCTACGGCATGTTTGAGAACAAGCGGAACGCGGTGCACATCAAGGGACCCTTCTCGGTGGAGGCTGACCCATCCAGGTGAGGGCTTAGGAAGGGTCCCCGAGTGCCCCTAAACATCCTGTAAGTTAAGGGGGGCTCCAGGAACCGCACGGGTGCTGTTGGGACAGCTGGAGGGGGCATGGCACCCCCACTTCTCGCAGACCAGTCTCTGCTCGACCCCACAGGTTCCGCTCTGTCCACTGCCACCTGTATCCGGACACACCCTGGTGTCCACGCACCGCCGCCGTCTTCTAGCAGCCGTGGCTGAGACCCTGTCCCTGGGCGCCCCTGGTATCCAAAGGGCCCAGGGACCCCTGTCGTGCGTCCTGGCCTTGCTGTACGAGGCTCTTCAGGGCTGTGTGTATGTGTACGTGTGTGTGTCTGTATTTGTGTATTTGTGTGCCGTGCCTACCCGTGTTGCAGACTGCTGGGCAGTCGTGTTTCAGGGAGGTGGCAGGCCCCTCTACACTCTGAGCCACCCCGAGGGCAGTTCTCTGGGAGCCGTGCAGCTCTGCAGTGGTGGCGAGGGGCCTCAGGGCTCTCCTTTGGGTGCACGGCTGCTGCCTTGTAGCACAGTCTCTAAGTCGGGGTGCCAGCACCTACCCAGGACCTTCCTTCCGTGACAGCTGAGCCGTGCCCAGTGCTACGGAAGCTGGTTCGGGTGGTCCGAGGCCTGGGCCCCTCCTAGGAGCTCTGGCCTGGGCGCTGCCAGTGGCCATTCAGGGGAACAGCAATCCTCACTCCCTGCCCTCCAGGGTAGGGGTGAAGGCTCCAGCCCTGCCCCTTGAGGTCCTATCTTTGTCTCCCACACTCGTGGGGTTCAGAGTTATGAATTTTATCTCCTCTCCAAAGTAGAGAGAAAGTCGCCCATAGTGGGTGTGTCTGTAAATATTGTGACAGTATTTTTTTACTGTGCTGTTTCGTGAGGGGTGGGGGACATTTGTGGGGAATGTAAAAGGAGGGGGGTGGTTGTTTTCTGGGGTGGGCTGGAGAGGGTCTTATTTTATCTTTTCTGTGGATCAGAAAAAAGCAGAAGCCAGACAGGCTTGGTCTTTGGGAAGCTGGACCATGGATGCCTTAGTCCTGTATTTATGCTTTCCAGTATCTGGAATCCCTCGGCACTCCCCGCCCTGCCATCCTCCCCAGCACCCCGAAGCTCACCCCGCCCCACCCCACCCCCACCCCGTGGGCTGTGTTTCTTTTTGCAAAGACCTTAGCTAGGCAAGCTAATGATGATAAGGGAAAAGCTCTCAGGGAATTGATGTGTTGTTGCCATGGTGACGTCCTTCCTCTGAATAAAGGTGCTCTTTGCAGCAACCCAAGGGGCCCTCGTCTTACTTGGGAGTTGGGTCTAAGCCACCTGTCCATCAAGGTAACTCGGGGAGAGGGGGACATGACACACCTAGAAGAGGACAGGGGAGACTGGGTCATGCCAAGGAGAAGGTAGTTAGTTAGTTGGTAGGAATCCTACAAGCTGACTATGGGGAGGGAAGCTTAGAACAGATGAAGTGTGAGCTGAGCAGTGGCCACGCCTTTAATCTCAGCACTCAGGCGACTGAAGCAGGCGGATCTCTGTGAGTTCGAGGACAGTCTGGTCTACAGACTGAGTTCCAGGACAGCCTGTGCTAAAAACAAAGAAACCCGGTATCAAAAAACAAGAAAACAAACAAAATAGATGGAGTGTGGCCAGCTCGGTGTAGGCTTGTCACTGAGGGGAGGTAGGTGTTGACAGGGCTAGGGGAAGTAACCAAGCCTGTGTTAACATCACTGGAACGCACAAGTCCAGACCTTCCTGCAGGAGGAATATCGTGGCTATCGTGGGCTGGCCAGAGACCCATTTTTGCAGACAAGAAAACTGAGGCTCAGGGCAGGCTAAGTCAGGATGTCCTAGGTCAGGCAGCCAGGCTGCTGGAATGGATGACAGTCCCTAGATCTTGGTTCCTGCTGACACTGACTGGCCTCCCATCTGTCGTGAGACCCTTGGAGGTATCCTATGAGGATGGCTGGTCACGAGTGGAGCTGGTGAGGACTCAGGTCTTTCTGAGGCTCTTCAGGGACCTTCCGCAAACCAGGCGCGGAGGGCGGGGAGGGTGGTTGAATGGGGGATCCCCACCGCACCCCCTTCCTGTGGCCTCCTTGTTTCCTTTACAGTGAAGTTTCTCGGTGCCAGTGGGCTGGTGATGCCCACCGGCTGCTCCTTTGCAGCTGCCTGCCTGCCCCAAGCTGACCCTGGCCTCCCCCGGGGCTGCCTGTCCTCACCACACAGACCATGTCCACTGCCTCCTTCCCCATCCTACCTGCTTAGAGATCTGCCCTCCCTGCTCGGACACACACTGCTCACCACACCACACCACACCAGTGGCCTCAGCAGCCCCTGGCAGACTGGGCCCTTACTGGTAACTGCTTTTGTCTTGTGGGGCGACGGGCCGGGGACTGACCAGCCCCACCTTGGCCCTCCAGTTTGACTTTTTAAGGCCGGGGGCAGCTGCCTGGGGTTTTTGGAGTAGGGGTTGGGGGAAGAGGACCCTTCATTGTCTTCAGCATACAGGGCTGGTGGTATGGCTCGGGGCCCCACTTCTGGATGAGGAAGCTGACATTTGCTTGGGGGTGGAAAGGTCATGGCGGAGCAGTCTGCACACAGGCCGTGGGCCTCCTTCCTGCCTGGGTGAGTCAGAGGCCTACTGCCCTCTGCCCTGCTCGTCATAAAGCCTGCAGCTGGCATCAAGCCTCCCCACAGAGCTGGCAGGCACAGGGGTGAGGTGCGGCTGCAGCAGCCTCACGGACATGCAGGGGCCTCCAGCCAGGGTGAGGTTCCCATTGGAATTGGAGCCAAAGGGCCTCGTCATGGTGGGTCCAAATGCCCTTGATCCTGGAGGGGCATAACTGCAGCAAGGAGCAGGGTGGGAATCTAGTGAGGTGGCACAGGCCTAGAACCCTGGTATTCAAGAGGCTGCTGAGGCAGGAGCATCATGAGATCAGGGCCAGCTTGGGCTACACAGTGAGGTCTTGTTTCAGAAAATCATCTGAGAAATGGGAGCAGAGTGGGGAGGGCTGGTGAAGGGTACAGCCCATGGCCTCGGCTGCTACTGCCAGGCAGAGCTGCCAGGTAGAGCTGCTCCTCAAAGGGAGCAGTCTGCTGCTGCTCCTCCCCGCTCCCCTGAGGCAGGGTTTCTCTGTGTAGCCCTGGCTGTCCTGGAACTTGCTCTGTAGACCAGGCTGGCCTCGAACTCAGAGATCCGCCTGCCTCTGCCTCTTGGAGTGCTGGGATTTAAGGCGTGCACCACCACCAACTGGTTGCAAGTTCTAATTCCCACCTCCAAGAGAGTCTAAGCAAGGGGCCCTCCTCTTTGGACAATTACTCAGGGAGAGAGGGAACTCATTTTCCTCCCCAGATGCAGTGGGGTTCATCCTTGCCAGTAACATCACCAGAAGGGGCCCAGCCAGGTGTCCTGTCTCTCACCATGAATCATTGTGGGGCTTTCAAAAGCAAAACGCTGCCTCACGCCTGTAAATCTCAGCATTTGGGAGGCAGAGGCACGAGGGCTGCCAAGAGTTCAAGGCCAGCCTCCACTACCTGCAGACTGATGCCCTCAAACCCCCAATCAAAGTAAAATGCAAATGCAACGGTGTCAGGAAGGGTGCAGAATACAGCCCAGCCCCCAGCTTCCTCTCTCGTGCTGAGTGGTAGGAATGGTAGCCAGGGCTAGCTGAGCTAGGTCTTGAGGAGGGCAGCAGGGTAGAGCTGAAGTTTTCAACTTCCCTCTCTGAACTTCCCTCCCCTGTAGGGTCAGCAGGGCTGACTTCCTGGAAGAGGTGCCTCACTGCTGGAGCCGGAAGGCCAAAACCACAGTGTGAGCCCAAGTCAGTCAGCTTGTGTGTGTGTGGGGGGTGCTCCAGCATGGCACAGCTCAGACAAAGGCACCTCAGGGTGAGGGGACAGGGTCAGGAGAGGCCTGGGAAGGGCATTGTGCAATGGAGCTGAGGCTTCCCCCTCCCCTGTGCAGGGCCCCTGCTGGCCCTCACTGGCTGGCTTCAGCCTACACTCTACATGCTAGCCTGAGGCCTCAGGAGAAGGGGAGGCTCAGAGCAGACACAGCAGTCCTGTGGCACACCCTCCTAGGCCCAGGTGCTCACCTGACCCTGGCCTTGACCTCTCCCCCACAAAAAACCCACTCCTGTTTTTTTTTTTGTTTTGTTTTGTTTTTGTTTTTTTTTGTGGGGTTGGAGCTGGAGAGATGGCACGGCAGTTAGGTGCCCTTTGGTGAGCTTGCAGAGGAAGGATCCAGGCTTGATTCTCAGCCACTCACATGGCTCCTCATGACTGTCTGTGACTCCATCCGTAGGGGATGCAGCACCCTCTCCTGGCCTCTAAGACACCAGGCATGCGAGAGGTCCCCAGGCATGTATGCAGGCAAACACCTATACACATATTTTTTAAACACGTGCAGGTCACGGTAACCTGCAGCACTGGGCCCCGGGACCAAGCTTAGGTCATCGGCTGAACAGCAACTACTTTGTTTTCTAACGCACACTGGCGTTTTCACCGCATGTGTGTCTGAGTGAGGGCGTCAGATCCCCTGAAACTGGAGTAGACAGTTGTGAGCCGCCATGTGGGTGCTGGGAATTGAACCCAGGTCTCCCGGAAGATCAGTAAGTGCTCCTAATCGCTGAGCAACCTCTCCAGGCCCCAACAGCAAGTACTTTAAACGGCTAAGTCGTCTCACTGGCCTTTTGGTGATGCTTTTTATTGCTGTGTTTCCTTTGTTACAGTAATTAATTTCACTAAGGAAGTTGCATTCACCACATGCTCTGACCATATTCTACCTTCTTTCCCTTCTAGGATAGTCATCTTGCCTTTCACAGGTAGTCCCACTTCTACTTTCATCACACACACACACACACACACACACCCCTGTATAAGAGCTGACAGTGTGGCTCAGTCAGTAGAGTGCTTGCCAAGCATGAACCAGGTCCTGGGTTCAAATCAGCACCACGTGCATATCCTATCCTTGGCCACATAGAATTAGAGGCCAGCCTGGACTTTGTCTAAAAAATCAGACGATGCTGGAGAGCTCGCTGTGGTTAAGAACACTAGCTGCTAACCCCAGCACTCAGGGAGGTGCTGTTCCCTGTGAGTTCAAGGCCAGCCTGGTCTACAAAGCGAGTCCAGGACAGCCAAGGCCACACAGAAAAACCCTGTCTCAAAAACCAAAACAACAAAAGCCAAGCACAGGTCCTCTTCCTGAGGACCTGGGGCTCAGTCTATAACTCCATCCAGTTCCAAGTGATCTGACCCAACGCCCTCTTCTGGCTGCTGCAGGTACTGCATGTTAGTTCACAGTCATACACGCGGGCAAAACACCCATAAACATAAAATAAAAATATTAAAAGAAGTAAAAAAATTGGGGAGCAAGTATAAAATCTAAGCCTGCCTTGGCCCAACTACATACGTAAAGACACCTGGTGAACCTCTGGAAGGGACCCCAGGATCAAGAGGACCCCGTATTGGACCCTAGAGGATGCCTAGATGTTGTCATGAAGTTTAGGGGGCTCGGAGTGGCAAAGGCTCACCCGGGTCCTATCTAGCCATCTACCTCTGCCACAACCCACCATGGTCCTTGGGCGCCGCCTGGTGGCCACAGTTGACGCGTCCCTAGGTCTAGGGATGCAACCAGGAAGAGAACTGCAGGTCTTTGCTGTGGCCTCAGAGGTCCAGACACTAAATATATTACCCAAATTCATTTATTCTCGTCTCCCCCCTTGTAGTGCTGAGAATTGAAGCATATGCTCACATATGCTAGGCGAATGCTCAAACCAGAGTACATCTCTGGCCTTCTAATGTCTGATCTATGCAGGATGAGGAGTCAAGTGCGAGGCTCCTGTGCTGTTCTTGGGCTGGCTACAGAGTGTGGCTCAAGCAGCAGGAGCCAGCGGCAGCATTCTCTGCAGTCACTGTTTGCTCCCCTCCTCTCCAATTCTGCAACCTCTGAGCCCCTTGGAAGCAAACTATTAGAAACTTCCAGGAAGTACACCTATTATGCCTCCTGAGGGGGAAGCAGTACCTCCTGCTGGACCCTTGTTCCCACTTCTCACACACAATAGAGGCCTCTAGGCAGGTGCTGTGCCACTGAGCCATACCCCAGCCCCTCACTGGGGGATTCTAGGCAGGTGCTCTACCACTGAGCCACACCCCAGCTCTCCAGCCTTGAGCCAGTACAGAGGTTCCTGATTGGCCCCATCTTCTCTACTTTCTTCCTTTCTGACTCAGCAGCTGGAGCAACTCAGTTAAAATGAATGTCAGATGGCATCACTCTCTATCACTCCCTCTTCCTACTTGGTCCATGCCAGCCAATGAGGTCCTGCCCCTATCCATGAAGTGCTAAACACGGCTCCCCACAGACCTCACTCGCACACCTGTGTGGCCTAGCCTGAGCTACAGGCAGCCACCTTGTGTGCAGCCTGTGGCTCTGGATCCTCCAGGCCAGTTCAGGTAAAAAAAAAAAAAAAAAAAGAGACCTGTTTTTTAAAATTGTTTATTTTAAAACATGAAACCCAAGCTGAATAGAGACCACAGAAATTACATGGACAAGAACTTTAGTTATTTGCCAAGAAAAATAAAGTTCCCCGAAGAAATAAAAATCAAACCCCAAACCCAGTTTAAAAACTGAAAACACAGCAACAGTAACACACAGCCATGGCCCTACGGAGGCTGGAGGGGAACTCGGGGCTGGCTCGAGTCAGATGACATAGTCCACTGGGGGCAGATGCAGGCAGAGGGACAGTAACCAGGAGGCAAATCGTACAAAAATCAAATACACGAAAAAGGGAGTGGCACACCACCACTGTGGTTAAAAACCAATGAGAGACCCTGGTCACCTTTGGCCCAGGAGCTAACCACCCTCTGTGCTGGGCAGAGCAGGCATTGGAGCTGGGGCAGGAATTGCATAGTGCGACAGGGTGGGCGGGTAGACAGAGGGTTTGAAGGACACTCCGGGCCAGGATCTGCTACTTTAGCTCTGACTTACATAAACAGGAGTGTTTGTGGGGGATGGTTGGCCACCAGCCCTATCAGCATTGCTTGGCCAGCCAGATCCCTCCTCTGGTTTGGTGGCTCAGCCCTCCTTGTTACCCACCAGAGCTTAGGGTCACCTGGGGTAAGAGGGAGTGGGGACCAATCACAGGCGGCTGGCACTGGACTGCTTACCCCATGGAGATGCGGAGGGATCACTGGGATTGGGTAGACAGGTGGCACCCAAAAATCAGAAAATGAAACGGAACAAACCACAGTGGCAGGAGCCATCTCCTCTGCAGAGCTCAGGGTGGGAACCCCCTTTTCATTTCCCCTTGCTTCCTCTCTTCAGCCTCGGTGAGTGAAGTCACAGATGTGGGCACGCACGCACGCGACGGTCAGGACTCCCAACACAGCACAAGTTCACAGCCACGTCTGGGCAGTGCCCGCCTCTCATGCTATATACATTCACCTTGTGGCCAGCTCGTGGCCAGGGGGACAGCATTTGTGCTTCTGAGAGGCCCCAGGGCACACACCGGTACCCAGACGGGGGTGCCCCATGCCTCCCTCTGGACCCAAGGCCAGGAGCGCGCACACAGCAGACTGGCTCAGCTGGGCCTCCATGGCCCTGTAGGTTCCAGGCCCCAGGCCAGTTGGAGCCAAGGATGGGGTCCCCTCTGCTGAGGTTCTGTCACGCTCAGGAGCTGCAGATGCCCAGAGGGACCCCAAAGCCCTGTGAGTCCTCTGCCCCTCCTTTTGGTCCCAGACACCAGCCCAAGGAAAGGGCTGTTTGAGAAAGAAAGCAACGTGGAGCCTCTCCCCTCTGGGAAGAGCCGAAGCCCGGGGTTCTGGGATCCATAGCTGCCAGCTTGCTCCAGGAGGACCACAGGTCTGTAAACCAACTGCCACAGGGCCCCAGCCTTGGCCTCCGCGCATGCTCCAAGGCCCCGGTCAGGTAGCTGCCCGTCCCACACATCAGAGCTCACGCTGGCTGGCTGGGCCAGGGTAGAGGCTCTGAGTGCTGACTTGGGAGCCGACTAGGCCCCTCACAGCAGGAAGCACAGCAAACATCATACACTAAAGCCAAAAGCACCTTAGGCAAGCGGTGTTCTGGGGTTGGTTGGGGAGACAACTGAGGCCACATGGACCTCAGTCCCCAGTCCCCAGGACACGCTCCTCCGGGGGCAGCACCTGCCTGGGGAGGGGTCTCTAGGCCCTTTGAGTTGCCTGTGGGTCTGGCCCCTCCCTGGCAGCACCCCACAAAGAAATGACCATCCTAGCCCTGGCTCCAGGCTAGACGGAGGGTCACCGCTTGCTGGCTCAGGGTCAGCCGGGAGTGCCCGTGGCAGCTGAGAGTGAGGTTAGTGGTTAGTCCCAACAGGGGCATTCTGAGGCTGGGGGCACATTCCCAGCCACCCCAGGTCCAGCCCCCAAAGTTGGGCTCCAGAGGGCACTGCCGCTTGTCCTGGCGAAAAGGAAACTAAGAAGGGGTGGCAGTGGGTCAGCGTCTTGCTTCGCCTGTGTCCCAGACTGCCCTGGAGATGACAAATGTGGTCAGTGCAAAAAAAAACCAAACGGGACAAAGCTGCCGCTCTCTAGGGATGATTGGGAAAGAGGGTTTGGCACCAAGAAGGTGGCCAACACTGAGAGGCCAGGGAGTAACCTGGGCTCTGCATGGCACCTGCTGTCCGGAGAAGGAGTCACATGGGCAGGAAGGTAGGAAGAGCCCCACCCTGGAGGCAGCGCAGAACTGACAGGAAAGGCCAAGTAAGCCAGGTGGATAAGAGAAGGCAGGCGCTGGGCGTTGCAAAGACTAGAGTGTGTGAAGCTGTAGGTGAGGAGCGGGCAGGTGTCAGGCACAGGGGCTTCCACTGCCTAGGAACGGAGAAGTGATCCTCAGAGGAGTCAGGGGCCAGGGCAATGCCACGAAAGGCTCGGTGCAGCTGGAGGGAAGGCAGCGCCCAGAGTGCAAGGGGCAGCGTGGAGGGTCACCTGTGGAAGGAAGGTGGGGCGGGAGCACCTGGCACAGCAGGGCTCAGAACCCAAGAGAAAGGACGGACAGAGAGAGACGGAGGCAGGCAGGGCCGGGTTGCTGGTGGCAGTGTCTGTCCACCAGCCCCAGAAGCCTCACTCCTCAGGCTGGCCCGGAGCTCATGCTGGGCACCTCCATGCCTCCTGCAGGGTGGGGATAGCGGGGCCATCAGATGTGCCTAGGGCTGGCCCAGTGTGGCTTGCAGAGGGTCCGGCGGGGCAGAAGCAGCAGTGCTGGCAGAGGAAGGGTGGGGCAATTGGCACGTGGGGGCAGATGGCTGGTCGGTGTGCGGTCTAGTGCCCGCTGCCGCTGGAGTCGGGGCGAGGCTGGCTCGTGGCGAGGTATTTGGCTCTCATGCTGGAGGTGTACTGAGGAGAGAGGGAGGGAGGGAGCAGGGTCAGCTGGTTCCTGGGCAGGGCTGAGCAGCACAGCCAGCAGCCTCTTTGGTCCTTGGTAGGGTGAGCCACAGCCGACCCTTGGGGAACAGAGTAGAGCAGCGCAGTGCATGGTTGGCAGAATCCTGGAGTAGAGGCTCAGACCAAGGACTGGGGATGGATCAGGAAAGTGGTGATACCAGCGTACAAAGGTCAGCCTCTGCCATGGGACTGGACGGCAGAGGCAAGGGCCTTCCCCGATGAGGTACGCTGCGTCCCCCACCCCATCATCACTAAGCCACTTTTAGAGCCCCAGTTAGATCTGCCACCTCCAAGAACTGAGCTCAAAGGCCAAGTGCTTCACACATGCCGAGAACACGAAGGCCACTAGGCCCACCCCTATGCAGAGCTGTACCCGGGTCAAGACAAGGCCTCCCAGGGCAGGTCCATATGAAGCCGGGTGGCAGACGGCAGCTGCCGAGTCCACTAGAATCAGGAGGATTGTGCCTCCTCCCCAACCACTCAACTCTGCCACCCCCAAGAAACAGGGGTGCTTCAGACTAGAGCGACTCTGCCCCGCCTCCTGGATGAAGAAACTATAAATCCCTCAGGATGTGTGATTCGGGACAAAGGTGACAGCCTGCTTCTGCACATGGCCTATACATCTTGGCCGCCCTAACAGTACCATAGGTGTGAAGATTTGTGTGTGTATGTGTGCCTTTGCAGAGGAACACACCTCCAAGCATGTGCCAAGGCCAGGCAGTGTGCAAAGAGTTTGCATGCCTGTGCAGGGACAAAGGTCATCAGCACTGAGAAGGCCAGGCAGGATGACGCCACCCACCCCAGGGAAGACAGGCTAGCTCCACGGTACGCAGATGAGGCTCAGTGCTCCTGGGGTCCTGAGTGCTTGTGAACCATTCTAGGTTAAGGCTGCAAGCAGCCTCTGAGGCGGCCATGGTGCAGGGGGCGGGGGGGGGGGGGAAGGGGGGAGCAGGGGCCCAGAGCCATGTCATTCCATGGACATGCAGCAGTGACAAGGGGCACGGGGCTGGGATGGGACAACTGGTGGGATGGGACGGAAGGTGGCAGCCCCGAGGCCTGGAGGAGCCCACGCAGGCACCGGGCCAGGGGGCAGAAGTTCCCACCCATATGAGCACACCTGTGTGGCCATGTGTGCATGGGCTAACATGCAGGACCACACCCCCAGGGACCCAGCTCTGCACCCAAAGCCAGATGCACACAGGGGCCCGGGTGCAAGCGCCGAGATGGGCTGGGCCACCTGTGGCTGATGACAGAGTCAAGCCTGGAACGGGGGTTCACTGTGATACCCGTGGGCTCAGGACCACTTCAGAGGCCTCCGGCCCCCTAAACGGTGGGTGGAGGATGTTGGTGAGCGAAGGGTGCAAGGCACGGAGGTACAGGCGGGCAGCCGTGCGGGATGGGGGCCCGGGCGGGTCAGTACCTGTCACTCTGAGGGTACAGCTACCACAGTGTTCGGGCGCTGTCCATGGGTTTAAATTGCCAGCCTGCATGGCTGCCAGAGTCCAGGGCAGCCAGGTAGCGCTACGAGGGCCCAGGGTGGGAGGGATGCAGGAGAGAGAGAGAGAGAGAAAGAGGGGTGTCCTCAACGCCAGGCGGGGCTGGCCCCAAGTGAACCACAAGACCAGAGGGCCGAGGGTGAGGGCAGTTGAATGTGACACAGAGGTCTGGCAGGCCCTTGTCCAGGTCCTGGGCACCCCAGCCCAGCCCTGTGCTAGGGGACATTGCCGTGATGTGGCCGACACACGGGTCATTCCTAAAGCAAGGTGGCTTTCAGCCATCAAGCCCTGTGTCACAGCCCTCAGGGAAGCCCCAGGAGCCCCACCTTTCAACAGCACCTTCTTGGCACCAAATCCACCCTGGTCCTTCTGTCTACTCACTCCTGGGGCTCGGAAGGGACATCAGGCCTGGGCTAAAATAGCATGTGGCTGAGACATGCGTGCGTGTTTAGGGGAAGAAAGGAAGAAGGGGAAGGAGAAGAGCAGGGAGGAAGGGAGGAGGAAGAGCAGGAAGGAGGAGAAAAATGGAAGGAAGGACAGAGTAGGAGGAAGGGTGAATGGAGGAGGGAAGGAAATAAGGCTGGCTTTAACAATGCAGCTGCCTAACCAAGGCCTTGGGAAGCCTGGGAAAAAGGAAGGAAGAGGGTCCTGGGGCCTGAGAACCACCTGTTCATCTCAAGAAAGAAGCAAGGGCCAAGCTGACGGGTAGCAGGACCGAGGCTGCGCACGCTGACCCCAGGCTCCTCGTGGGTGGCGGAAGCTGGAGGACCATGAGGCCCTTTTACTTGGGCCGTGGTGTGCATGCCCACAGCCTTCTCAAGAGCCTAGACAGCCTGTGAGAGCCACCAGGGGACGAGGCGGCAGATTGGCAGAGCCCTCAAGCCGGAGTCTCCCCACCCACCCTCCTGCCCTGGGACTTACTGAGGGCGGTGGGGACTCGCGCCCAATGAGGGGAGTGTTCTCACAGCGGGGATTCTGGAAATTGGCA